CAGCCCATACTGAAGTCCCAAACCTGAGAGCAGAGCCCTGTGTTGTCAGTGGCTTTTAGCTAGTAGTGAATGTCATTGGCAGGCCCAACTGCACCGACAGATGCGCATTCCTGTCTGTCAGCTACGGTCACATCCACGCTTCATTTGCAAATAGTGCCTGATGCTGACACCCCAGACATGCAGTGATGTGGCCTTCTGGTCACTTTTGCAGACTGAGCCAGCCTGGCAAGGCTTGTGGTCCCAGCACAGCAGGCATGCCACACAGCAGCCTGCTGCAACACTTGACACTTAGTGGACTGCAAGCCATGGGTGGGCAGCACCAGCACATACCTGTGCTTAATGCACTGGGTGCTACTGTATGCGGTAGCAGCATTTTTTCATTTCCATCCTGTTGCTATAGAAATAGGCTGGGCACATATGGAAGTTGCATTAGCCTGACATTAAGCCCTTCTGAAAAGCCAGATAATTAAAATCATGTTATGTTCCAGTTTTCTAATGTCTCTGCTATCAGTGCATGTATGATAATGCCAACAAGGGCAAGTGTAAATAATTAGCTAATTGAGTTTTGCTTCAGAATGCCTTTCATTTATTCATTCATTTTTATTTATTTCCTCCTTCCCACGTGTGCTTTCTCAGCTGTGCATTCTTCTTAACATGCCATTGCCCAAGGAGCACCATCCAAATTAGGAGAGGGGAAAAGTTATTCTTTAAGCTTTGTCACCATCTCCGAACTTTGTTCTGAATTGTGCAGATTTTAAACTCACTATTTCCCAAACTGATTTTTTTTTTTTTTTTTCTTTACAACAGTTTTCATAGCTAAACGATCTTGGAAATGGAATGTGGTATTAAGAGTACAAAAACAACCTATACACAGGAAAATATATTTTCCCCTTACCATAATTATCTTAAATGCTGCTGGCACTCCGATTAGCTAATATGCTTTTAGTTATGAGACACTAGATACCAAACATGATTTTAACATGATTTTAATTGGCACGTCCCTTTGAGTGTTCCACTTGTGTGTGCGCATCCAAGCAGTCCTTTATAAAACATAGGTGGGCAGCAACACTGCCATCTGACGTACAAAGCCCTTGTAACTCCTTCTTTCACACAGGGTAACATGAGTGTGAGCTACAGCTGTGAGCCTTCATTAAGATATCTCTGTTTTGCACATCTGTGCCCTTCTACGTGCACTGATTTAGCTTCTAACACGTACTAGTATCTAGGAATAGCTGTAGTGACACTGATATGTAGGAAAATGAGGATAGTTTTGGGAGTTGATATTGTGGAGCTTTGTGACTGAAATCTGCTTTTTTTCTCTCTCTCTCATTTGCTTCTGCAAATCTTAACATTTCTACCCTCTTTCCAGGGAACTGCTGATCATGTAGGAAAATACTATTCAGGAGCATCAGATTCTTGCTAATAACTTTCCCAGGTGTTTCACAGTACATTCCCTATGTAAGGAGGTCATTTTCATCAGCTCTTAGCAGGTGGACTCACTTGGGAGAATAGCTTTGACCAAGATCATGCAGCAAATTATCAGGCAGCAAAAAAAAACAACAACAAGAAATGCAAGAAAAATACAAATATTCTCTCTGAAGCTGATGTTAAAGCTAGGAGACATCAGTAAGGCAGTGCTCAAGACTGTAATGAATTCTTCACAGTGAGTGTTGAAAAGGAAGGTGCAGAATGAATCCCATAGGTAGGATTCATGCCTTGCTCATTCGGAGCAGCTTAACTTCAAAGGCAAGGATCAAGATTTGCGTGGTTCCCCCTCTGCCTTTTCTTAATGTATATTTTAGTTCAATTAATTTTTCTTTTTCCTAAGTAGTAGTTAACAGGGCTGATGATACATTGGCAATGGAAGAAATCCAGCTTAGCCACGTTATAGAACCTGACTTTTCAGATGTCACGGGCTTATATATATATATATATGTGCTTGTTCTTTTTGTTATCACTGATAACAAAGATAAGTTGTACAGACTTTGGAGTGCAGCAGAGCCTGGGAGAGCTGGGAAGGCTCAAAAAAGATGGACAAAACCGATATTTTTTCCTACTCTTTAACTACCACAGCTCTGGTGAAACAAATCAAACACAGATTTAAAACTTCCCTGCTTGAACTTCTCTTTCCCTTCCCTCTCCCCAGGGTTTCTGTTTTAGAGCTCTTGAACTGATTTGTTGAGACAGATCAAAGTATAAAGTATTTCTCAGCTGGTCTTACTTCTCTCACTGGATTGTAGTGGCAGGAGACGGGCAGCTCATTACAACTGGGAGAGCGTTCCCGTGAAACCAGTTGAGGAAAGTAAGATTCTGCCGGACTGTAGTCCAGTCTCACCGTCACAGAAGCAAATTAGTTTAGAATGAATAAATAATGCCATATGCTTCTCATTAGGGTATGAGTTTGAGTATTAACATGATGTTAAGTATATCTGAAGCACTGTCTCTATTTGGTACTGTGAAGTCTTCGAGGCACACCCTGGGCTTGTCCAATTTCAAGCGTGTCTCCCCCATGCTTATTCCTTTTCTTCCATTTTCAACAATGTTTTAGTGAACAGAGAGGAAGAGGAGAAGTTCTGCTCAACAGCTTGTCAGTCTTCTCTCGGTCCCAGCTGTGTTTTCTAAGTCACCAAAGGGCCAGGCATGTTTGCAAAGTGCTGGTGAATGTGGCTCTGGATCCTGGAGGACATTAAAAAGCAGGTTGAGGGAGGTGATCCTCCCGCACTACTCTGCTCTGGTGAGACCACATATTAAGTACCGTGTCCAGTTCTGGGCTCTTCAGTTCAAGAAAGACAGGGAACTTCTAGAGAGAGTCTGGTGGAGGGCCACAAAGAGGATGAGGGGGATGGAACAACTCACTTATTAGGAAAAAGGCGGACAGAGCTGGGACTGTCAGCCTGAAGAAGAGAAGGATGAAAGGGGATCTCAGCACTGCTTATAAATATCTAAAGTAGAGGAGTCAAATGGATGGGGCCAGGCTCTTTTTAGTGATGCGCAGTGACAGGACAAGAGGCAGTGAACAAAAACTGGAATACAGGAAGGTCCATGAGGAAGAACTCTATTGTGAGAGTGACAGAGCACTGCAACAGGCTGCCCAGAGAGGTTGTGGAGTCTCCTCTGGATATATTCAAAACCTGCCTGGATGCTTTCCTGTAGGGAACCTGTTTTAGCAGGGGGGTTGGACTCGATGATCTCCAGAGGTCCCTTCCAGCTCTTGTGATTCTGTGATTCTGTGTAAGCCAGATGCGGCTCCTCACTTCTTTCAAGAATGCATGATGGAGGCATCTATAAACAGTACGTGCTTCCTGGAAGTCCATATTTCCTCTTTCAAGCAATCTAGCAGCCTATTTGGAACCATTTCTGACTAATTCTCAAGGGGTTCATGTAACTCATGTATCCAACCTTTTGGCTTGCCTGGGCTGCACTGAGAGAAGAGAAATTGTCTTGGGCTACATATAAAATACATAATTGAGTTGATGTATATAAGTGACAAAAATTTTTTTTAATATATTTTTTATTGAAAGTTAAAAAACAGCATCAAATACATAAAGCTAGTGGGATATTTGACCTTGTTTTTGTGATACTAATGCATCAGTCTCTGGTTCAGTGGCTGCAATTTTCAGTGAGCTCTCAAGGTATTCATCAAAGGTTTTTATTGAAATATTACTCTTTCCGTGAATCATCCTTGAAAATAGTTGTTCACAAATGTTTGTACTGCCAGAAAGCAAGGACATGAATAAGGCATGACTGTGGAACATGGGATATCTTTCTCTGCTAAAAAAGGTCTTACAGAAAGTGTCATGTCTCTAGTGAAGAGACATGATAAAATTTTTTTGAGTCAAATGTCTGACTGCAGCTCTACACATTCCATGTGAAAATGTGCAGGCAGTGTATTTATTCGTACTGAAAATGGAGTTGCAGATATACAAAAAAAGAATTGATTATTTTTTTTGAAATCTATTCTCAAATTCCTTTACCAAAGCTGAAAGCACAGCTGCATATTTTTAACTGTTCTTAAGACTGCGTTTAGCCAACCCAACAAAATGCATGAAATTATTTGCCATAATTTGAGCTTGCCTTACTTTAAGTTTCATTTTGAACTGTGTTACAGCTTGAAACATAGCACAGATAAGTTGATTTTCACACAGAAGACACATGTTTAACTCATTTATATGAGTGGTCAAATCCACCAAAAATTCTAAAACTGTGAGCACTTTTCATCTTCAACTTCTGGCAGAAATTTTCCTTTTGATTCCATAAACAACGTGGTTTAATTTAACAAATCATAAAATCTTTTCAGCACTTAACCCCAACTTAGCCACCTTCCTTCCGAAAAGTAAACAATATCCTTATTATCAGCACACACACTTTTAAGGAACTCCTGGACTGGCGATGATTTCAGTCCATTGAACTTTACGAAATTCACAGCTCTGATGATGATTCGCATGGCATTATATATTTTTATGGCTTTCACATATAATTTTTCTTGATGCAGTGATATTTCATCAAACATGAGCTACCAGTGGCAACTGCATCATCTTCTATTAATTTTATAAAGTTCCTCTTTTTTACCAACCATCACTGGGTCACCATGGAATCACAGAATCACCAAGGTTAGAAAAGATCTCTAAGATCATCCATTAGCTATACCTGATATGTTGAAAAGGACTAAAGAAAATTGCTTTAATGTAATATTTACTGCTTTATAGATATCCAGAGATTTAGTTGTGTCTTTCAGTGGCACCAAAGCAGCCATTTCTTCAGCGACATTATATTTGTTATCAATACATCTAATGAAAATGGCAAGTTAAGCCATGTCTGTAACATCAGTACTTCCGTCTATCACCAAAGCACAGCATTTGAAATTAGCAGCTCTACTCTCCAAATTTCTTTCAGTTTTTTTTTGTTTCTTCAGTTCACCTGACTACAGTCAGGTGAGAAGAAAAATCCAATTTTTTATCAGGACTGTATGGGAACTGCTGAGTCACAGCCTGAACCACTGATTGATCACCTGAGACAACACTGAGTCAACCATGGGAGCACAGGTGAAGGCAATTCAGCTGCGTGACTGAAGGGGAGGAGTCTGGCTGCACCTCTCCTAGACCCCATTTAAGTGGGGAAGGACCTCTTGCTGGTGGATCTTTCTTCTGTGAATCTGGAATCTTCTATAGGGTAAGTAATCGTTTTTTTCTTTATACCTTTTTATTGTGCTGATCTTCCCATTGTATTGGTCTGTCTAGTTGCTACAAGGATGTGTTATGGCTGCATCACTTCCTAAACACCACTGAATAAACTCACCATCAGTAAGTGGTTTTAGTATTTTTGCAGTCAGATTTGTCATTGCATAACTAGCTTGTATAGTAGAGTCTGTTTGAGTTTTGTTTTTTTTTTTTCTTTTTTTTTAAGAGCTTTTACTGAGATGACAGGCTTTTTTTTTCAGTTCCGCTACTTTGTCTTTATGAAGCATTCCTTGATAAATATTGGATGTGGCAGCATGAGTGAAGGGAAGGAGCCTGAGGTTGAGCCACCACCATGATGGCACAGGGTAGGGCTGAGCTGTGTTGCAAACTGTGCTGGGTCGCATGTGGCCTGTGGGTCTCAGGTTGGACATGGTGTAACTCAAAGCATTACAGAATCTAGGCCTGCCAGCATCAAGCTCCAGCTCAGAGCAAGCTGGCAAGTAGACTGCTTCTTGCTGCAGTCCATATATGTGAGTAGGACAAGCTTTCTGTTTTTGTCTCCTGCCCTCATCCTTTCCCCCTGCATGAGCCTTTAGCAGTCCTAAAATATTTTGAAAAACCTTTGTTTCTACCAAGGATCAATGCCATGGCTATTCATGCATTATCAATGAGGCAGCAGGAGTGATGGCTGTCACCCAGAAGCAGAGCTGGTCTGTGAAAGTATCCTCTGAAAGAGCAGATCTTGGAAAGGACTTTAATTTAGAAAGAAAAACAAGTGAGAAAAGGGCTAGTTAAGGCTGTAGTTTAGTGGCAGAGATTTCAGGTCTCCTGACTGCCAGGTAATAATGCCTAGTTATGAAATATGTTGGAGGTGTGTACATGGCTTAGCAAGCACATGGAGACATGGCATGCGGGAAGCAGGATGTCAATGTCTTTAGTTGGAAAAGGACTCTTCTCCTGAGCACTTGTGCTTCTGCCTAAATGCAACCTGATGTAAATTCTAGACTCACTTCTTCTTCACATGAAACAGAAGCAAGCCAAAGCAGGATATGTTCCCATAGAGAAAGATAAGTACACTATAAATCAGCAGGTGATAATTATTTTGAGTGGCAGGACTGAGCATTATGGCCAGGTATGACTAGCGTGCAGCAGATTTTGGCAGAGAGGCAATAGGTACTGATGCTGGCAGAGGAGAGAACCTCATTTAAGTGGGTGTGTAAGCCAGTGGAGTTGGCCCCATCTACACAAAAGCTAAATTTTGCTCATGTTCTGAGGAAACCTCTCTTCCAAAGTAAACCAGGGTTTGAGATGGAAGCAAGGTCATAAATGGTCGTTAAAATGAGATGCTGTCCGGCCAAGTTCTTGTAAGACAAAGTGAAATAAGGCTTTGTGTTGTGAGCCCAGATGGAAGGTCCTCTGCGAAGGAGGACCAACAAAACTGTGGTATGAATGGATGCTACTGAAGAAGGGCTGAAAAACATCCAGTTCCCTCTGCACCCATTTCAGGAAGCTTACTGTGAAATTAAATTTAGCTGACAAGGTTTGAAGAACATAAAGGACATGGAATTTCTCAATGAGGATGTATTTGAAAACTGTTTCCTCTGATGTAGTTCCACAGTGTAAGAAAGGCCTTACTGGGATTTCCTGTATGCTAATGCCATCCTTTGACAGCTCATTTATCTCATCTTTCCTGGATGATCTTACACAGGCACACGCATTAAGGATCTTCTTATGGGCACACACAAAATAGCTAAACAGAAAAAAAGCATCGTGAGGGTTAGTGTTTTTATTGTAAATATGAACATAGCCTGAAAGTCTGTGTGTCACTGAATCTTGTTCAAAGCACTGAGTCACCCTGTTGTGTTTACCCATGCATAACCATAAAACCATACAGACATTTTGCCCCCACCCCTGTGTGTGTGGTTCGGAGCCGTGCCCACGCAATGCTTTGTGACCTCCTGATATCCTACCATCTGGCAAGACTTTCTGAAGTTACTGTAGAAAAAGAGATCTGGGTACCTCATGGATGGTGGAGCCTCTACAGCAACAGGGTTAATCCATAGCTCTCACTTCCTGACTGTGTTTCGTAGCTAAGGATTAGACTTCTCAAAGACATCATTTGAACAGAGCTGAGGAGTTGAAGGCTAGAAAAGCATGTCAGATCTGTGCCTGTGTCATGAATTTTTGTTTGTCTGCAATGACTTTGCCAAGCTGAGAATAGATCGGTGTGTAGCACCCTGCTGTTTCCTGAGCATTTTCTGCTGCACAAGCCCTTCTGCTAGGAGATGTGGAAAGGAACTTTAGGCAAATATTCTGGTGTCCCTACTCTCATGCCCCAGTCTTACAGGAATTCTTCAGAACTAGAAAGAGCGTGACAGACATCTCATCCTATTGGCATGCTTTTGCTCATGAAGTAAAACTCATCAGATATATCCTACAGATGAAGTCCAGGCACAAAATCTCTATTCCACTGACATCCTTAAGAGTTTCCTCAATATTTTAAAAGGACTTGGGCTTAATTCTCTCTGATTAAGTTTTGGCTTCATTATTGTACTGGCTTTAGCTGGAGTTAATTATACTAACCTGTGTAGTGCTATGCTTTGGATCTGTGACTCACTGATGTTTTCCCTGTTGCTGAGCAGTGCTAGACAGTGTCTCTGTGTCTTACAGTGCCCCACCAGCAAGAAGCTGCCAAGGACACAGCAGAACAGATGACTCCAAACAGATATCCCATACCACATAATGTGGAGCACAGCAATAAAACCTGGGGCAAAGAGGAAGAGGAGGGGGTTGTTCAGGATTATGGCATTTCTCTTTGCAAGGAAGAATTCTATGTGATGAGCACCATTTTTCATGAAACCTGCCTGCTGATGGAAAGTATTGAGAGGGTTCTTTATTTTAATTTAGTTGCATGCAGTTTTTGTTATATCTATTGATCTTTAACTCTTTCCCATTCTCTTTTTCCATTCCACCATTTTTGGGAGCTAAGAGTGAGTGGCTGAGTGGCTGCCAGCTGAGTTCATCAACAACAGTTGGCATCTGCTGTGGGCTAATTACACCCACTGGTTGTGGGGATGGGGTAGCTGTACAACTGATCTTTCCAAGAACTCATGGCTATTTTTCAAGAGGAAAGAAAGAGGATGAGCTGAGGGGAGTGCTGGGATGAGGTGCTGGTTAGTGCTGATTCCAGTTGTTATTGTTTCCTACATTTCTGGTACCTAAGGATTTGTGATTGTTTTGGATCAGTTTCTGTGTGCATGCAACAAAGACAAGCTTTTCTACTGTAGTAAAAGGGAGTACTGTATCAATCTGGATAGCTCTGTGATGGGGTAACATGCATACTAGGGAAAAACTGAGAGCAACAGTAGTACGAAGTTCCTGTATACCCCAAAGCTGTTTCCTGCACTTGCACAAAATTGGGCCCCTACTCTTGCCTCCTGGTTTCCTGATCATAGAAAAATCATAGAATGGCTTGGGTTGGAAGGGACCTCAAGGATCATCAAGATCCTGCCACAGGCAGGGCTGATAGCCTTTATATGTAATGCTAGACCAGGCTGCCCAGGGCCCCATCCAACCTGGCCTTGAACACCTCCAGGGACGGGGCATCCACATCCTCTCTGGGCAGCTGTTCCAGCACCTCACCACTCTCATAGCAAAGAACTGCCCCTCAATGTCCAAATTGAATCTTCCCTCCTTTAGTCATCTTATTACAGCTCATAACGACCTCGGTATGGATTATTGCTAATATGTAGCCTGATCTGCAGGTCAGGACTGTCCTCAGTCCTTGAGCTATTGCACATTCCAATTCCTGCTTCACGCAGCCCATTCTGCCTGCTCCCATTTGCTTTGCCTCAGCTTGGCTGCCAGGCGGAGCCATCGGTTTCAGCAGTCTGGTGTCTGTGTGGGTGGCAAATGCACTGCAGTTGTGGTGGGCTTCTAGGCTGGCCCACCCAGAAAGGTCTGTATTTCTGTATCATGAGTGCTGAAGAGGAGACCCTGTCAGTTCAGCAGTGTATGAGGGCTGATAGTAAAGTCTCCTATTTTTGTAAGCTGGCCTATGATGTCAGGGGTGGATGTTGGTATGGCAGTAGGGGTTGAACCTTCCCCAACAATATTTTGTTACATGATGTTGTTGTGTGACAGATGGCAGCAGAGGGGCAGTCTGACAGAATGGCATCTGACATGGACACGTATCTGAAGCAGATGTTTGTTTCTGAATTCCTTTATGTGGAAAAAATGGCACCCACTGATATCCATTGATACCAGCTGAATGTTTCTGGAGACCAAACGGTGAATGTGTGCACAGTGAGGCAGTGGGCATTGCATTTCAGCAGTGACATCATATCAGCTGTGAAACACTGGGACAACTGGGCTGCTGCACGTGTTTTGAGTTCAGCATGCAGCCTCTTGCTCACTGCAAGCACAAATGCACAGCTAATGTGGTGATTACGTTGGGAAAAAAGTGTTTTGTAGCTGAGAATTTTCTCTATCAAATAGTGTTATTTTACTCTTAGCATCTGGTTTAATTTTTATAGGAATAAATAGGAGGCATTAGTTCTGCAGTATATGCACATATATGTTTAACACAAGTGTGTGTTGTCATTCTTTACAGTGCCCTAGCAATGGTGACCTATAAACAACTAGCATGTTCTCCTTTGTGATTGTTATTTCTCATTAATGGTGGTCTGAAGATTTTTTTTTTCCGCTTGCTGGCTCCCCACAGAGCTATGTGGAAGTTGTATTTTTATTTTTGTACTTTCAGGACTTTATTAATGTCCCCTTCTGTGCCTGTAGGAAACGTAGTGATAAATGTCAGACCGTATTTCTGACTAAGCCTTTTTAAAAATTATTATTTCCAAGTTCATGACTCTGAAAAAAGATTCTCCTAATATTGTGGAATAGATAAAATAGTCATATAAATGGTTAATAACTCCAAGTATCTAGACTGGTTAAGGTGGCAGCTGGTGTAGCAGAACTTGACCTGTTTCAGCC